TCATTAGTGAGAAGTGCAGAGTGTACACAAAGAGGAACTTGCCAAATTACTAATAAGCAGAAACTCCATCCATCTTAATGAGACAGGGTTAAGAAAATAGCAACCTAGAATATACACAATGGAGCTTTTCCAAGCTGTTTATTTACTCCTGCTAGAAAGTAGTTCTGAGCTCCATCTCTGGTCCTGATTGGAGATTGTCACATGTTTTCCAAACCACAGGCTTCTTATGCTCTTGCAAATCATCAGGCATGAGAAAGATAAATAAATAAGTGGAAGGATGGCTCAAAAATTATTAGAGGGAAGAGGGCAAATGGGATTGCTGCAGAGTGAGAGCATGAGGAGGTGTTTCCTTGTGGTGGGCAGGTCTCCAGCTCCCCTCCTTTGGGGTCCTCACCAAAGCAGCTGAGGGCCCCCATGTGCTCAGGTACCACAGGGCTGAGGCTCCCACCACACCAGCCCAGCGGTGTGATTTAGAGCTCCCCGGTGACTTGCAGCACTTCCCCAGGTTCCTCTGGCAACCTAGAAGGGGTCTGCACCCACGCCGAGGTGCCTGCACACCTGTGCTCCCCAGCCACATTTTTCTTTTGTTGGGTAAGGAATGACTTGCAGCTCCTTTCACGTGCACAGCTCGGCTGCTGCGGTTTTATTGAACGCCAGCGCTCGCTGGATGTTATTCAGGCAAACTTTATATATGCCACAGACCCTCTCAGCAGCCTGCACCTGGTCCAGGGCAAAGCTGAGCCTCACGGAGAAGAATGTGCTGCAATGCAGCAAGTTATTACAGGATAAATATTTATAAGCCCCTGTAAACATTTGCCGTCGGTTCCCTCCTGGGACTAGGGGCAGACGGTCAGAGTTTCAGCAGTGCTGAAGGCATTAGCTCTTGTGGTTCTTTACATGTTATCTCAGCTAGTAAACCCATTGCTGATCCTGTATGGTTATAGCATTTAGTGGTGCTAATTTCACACTAACACGAGACGTCGGCTGGAATTGTGGCAGGCCTCGATCCTGGCCCTGCTCTTGGTGGAGGTGTCCCCTGCAGCCCCAGGGGCGCTGGGCACCTGGCCAGGGTGCCTGAGCGGGTCCCCACAGCTGCAAAACCTTCCCTGGTCGTGGGAGCTGCGTCGGTGTTGTTGGAGCCTTGGAGGCAGAAAACAAACACGGCTAAACCAACATCCTCCTCGGGGCTGACCCCGGCAGGGGCTATCAGCTCTCGGGCCGAGGGGGGCTAATCTAAAGCAAATATTCCCTGGAGGTGTCCAGGAGCTGTCCTGCCACGGCAGGCTCTCCGTGAGGGGACGTGGAGGGTGGGCTGCCTGCCCTGGCACGTCCCATCCCCTCCCTGGAGGAGCAGCCTGAGCCCTGCGGCCAGTTGGGCTCATCACCCCATCACTGCTGCCTCTGTTGGGGCTGAGAGGGGGCTAACGCAGGGCTGGGAAACTGGGGAAGAAATGCCAGGGCAGGCAAGGCCGTGACTCCTCCATGCCCTCCAACGCAGCAGTAAAACAATGAGCCCTGGGCAACGGCGCTGGTTGCATGGGACTATTTGGGGGCTTCCCTTTGCTGCTCATGCACGAAAGCCAGTCATTTGGCAAAAATCAGCTCAGTTAGCAGGCATTGTTCCTAAAGAGCCAGGGCCTGAATGGGCTCAGGGCTAATATATTCTATTATCCCACGCCTGCCTGTTTCCCCAGGGCAGTGTGGAGGGAAAGGCACATTCCAGCGTCTGGGCCGGGGCAGAGTGTGCCCAGAGTGGGCAGGGAGGGCGGGACAGGCGGGAGGGCACCGCTGCCAGCGGCTCAGGGCCACCTCGGCCACCACCCGCCCTGTCACCGCTGAGCACCTGCCTCAGGTGGGTGTGGAGCAGGGCGGGGTGCTGAGCTGCGGGAGGGGCGGGCAGAGCGCCTGGTCCCGCGGCTGCCAGGACAAACAATGGAGCCAGAACAGGCACGGTTAATTGGGCTGGGCTTTTCACAGGGCAGGAGAGGTCTGGGGACAGCCAGAATGGTGCGTGGTGCAAAGCCTCTCGTTATTCAGTAAGAAAATGTTAGCCCCTGTGGGAGAGGCAGCAATAAATGGCTGTAAAGTAAGGTTAAATGATGACATTAGAGACTAGGCAGAGATTTAAGAAGCAGTAATTAAGATTAAAGAGATTGAGATTTAAGAAGCAGTAAAGGGCTACATAATTATGAAGGGAAATGGCTGTGCAGGCTTCACTCAAAAAAGTTGGTGCCCAGTTCGGAAGGGGTTTGTTGAAAGAGCAGCCCTTCCTGGGCAGCTGCTCTCTAAGAGGTCTTATACTGTGTGTTAAGCAATTTAGTGGCCTAGACCAGAGCTGTTAACTTTTTCATTTTTGTTTTTTTTTCCCCCTTCTCCCTTCTTTCTTCTTCTTTTTTTTTTTTTTTTTTAAAGAAAAAACGGTTTGCTGGCAACTGTATTTGCTGGTCAGTTGTATTTCAGTTCACAACTCGCTCTTGGATTCCCATTCAGGCGCTGCTGCCATGAGTGTGGGTATCAGCCACGGAGCAGAGAAGGCAGCCAGCAAAGACCTTCCCTGGGCCGAGTTCAAGAACCGTGCAGGCCGTGAGTGTGGTTGGATTTGGCAGCCAAGGCATTCCCAACTGGAGCTTTCCCGCTTGGATCAGGAGCAGTGAACTGTGGCAGGCTCAGCAGCCACTGTCCAGCGTGTCGGGGCTGCAGCCAAGGCCACTAATGAGTGTGGGATGCTCCAGGGCACATGTCCCTGGAGAGATTGTGACAGGACATTTACCTGCTGCCATGTGGCATTTGCTGACCCCCAGGTAACTGGAACCCTGACTGCAGTTTTATGGCAGTGTTGCTGCTGTGGCCTTTGGAGAGCTCCCCAACTTTCGAACAAGAGCTTCCCGAGTCCCCACCTTGCCTTCCTACCCGTGACGTCCCTGTCACACTCCTCAGCCTGGAACAGGATGGTAGCACTGCCAGAGTCAAATGCCCATTGCTGCTCTGACACTTTCCTATGACCTTGCCATGGAATGGAGAGTCACTGGAAGAGTTTGATTCCCGACCAGTGCCCATGAGGTAACACTTGGGTGCAAACAAAGATGCTCGAACAAAGCCTCGAGCAGATCAGTGCCCTGCTCCGTGTTCCACATTACACCTGGCTCCTGGGACACGGCACTACGTTCTCAAAATTAAGTGTTTCGGTGTCTCTGGACTGGTTTTGGTGAAAGCAGATTCTATGCTGTCAGAATTTCTCAAGGGGTGCAAAGTTTATTTTGCAGTTGTTTCTCGGTGCAAACAGTGGTCAGTGCTTTGCCAACATTTCCTGAGCCCGAGCAGCAGGAGGGGGCCTGCTCCATCCAACTGCTTATTTCACTCGCTACAGCCTCCTTACGGCACGGACGTCTCCTGTTAATGCTGAATTCTTCACTTCATTAGTGGTGCAAACTGGCTGCTCTCTTCTGCTGGCCCTCAGGTGAAAGTGGCTCTTTCAGGCTTCCAGGCTTCAGAGCCTCTTCCATTTACCTCTCAATGAGGTGTAGTTCCTGTATTAAATGGCACAAGCTGTTTGAGCCAAAGGCAGCAGCAGGAACAGGAGCTTCAGAGGAGTCTGGAGGAGGGAGCTCAGGAGAGCCACTGGAGAGCTCAGGAGAGCTCCCTGGCACAGGGACCTGTGGGCAGAGCTGCTCAAAGGCCAGAGCCTGTGCACAAGGGCTGAGCCGGCTCCTCCTGCCCGGCTTGTGCCCAGGGACACTCTGCTCTGGCCCGGAACGCCTGCACTGGCACCCGGGTGGGCTCACGGCCACGGTTCCCCGTGTGCCCAGCTCCTGGCTTTGGGGGCAGTGAGGCTTTGGGGGCCCTGGGGAGCGTGGCAGGGTGAGCGAGGAACAGGGAGTGCAGCTCCTGCTGTTCCCAGGCGCGATACCGCTTTAAGGAACAGACCCTCTTTCTCTCTCCTAGTTTTTTTTTTTTCCCTTCTTTCCAAATACCATAGTTTCTGTTGGAATTTGTCCACGGGGAAATGAGGTTTGCGCGGCTCAGTCCAGGTTCACAGAAACATCTGCAACCTTGGAACAGGCGCTCGGGAGCGCCGGGACCTCCCAGAGCCGCCCGGGCACGGCCCCCGCGGGGCTCGGGCCGCCCACCGGAGCCCCCCATCAGGCCCCTGTCCCGCTGCAGGTGGCGCCGGGCCGGTCCGTGTTCCCGGGGCCGTTCCCCGTTCCCGGTGCCGTGGGTCGGTCCGGGTGTGCGGGGCCGTTGTCCCGGGGCCGGTCCGTGTTCCCGTTCCCCGTTCCCGGTGCCGTGGGTCGGTCCGGGTGTGCGGGGCCGTTGTCCCGGGGCCGGTCCGTGTTCCCGTTCCCCGTTCCCGGTGCCGTGGGTCGGTTCGGGTGTGCGGGGCCGTTGTCCCGGGGCCGGTCCGTGTTCCCGTTCCCGTTCCCGGTGCCGTGGGTCGGTCCGGGTGTGCGGGGCCGTGTGCGGGGCCGGTCCGTTCCCGTTCCCCGTTCCCGGTGCCGTGGGTCGGTCCGGGTGTGCGGGGCCGTTGTCCCGGGGCCGGTCCGTGTTCCCGTTCCCCGTTCCCGGTGCCGTGGGTCGGTCCGGGTGTGCGGGGCCGGTGTGCGGGGCCGTTGTCCCGTTCCCGTTCCCCGTTCCCGGGGCCGTCGGGGCCGCGCCGCGCGCGGGGCTGCCCCGGCCGGGGGGGCGGGGCCGGGCGGGGGGGGCGGGGCGGGATCGGCTCCCGCGGTCGTGATTGGCGGCGGCGGGCGGGCGCGCGGCGGGCGGCGCGGCGCTGATTGGCTGCCGCGGGCTCACAAACCCGCGGCGCGGCGCGAGCGCGGCCAGAGCGGGGCCGGGGGGCGGCGGGAGCGGAGGGGCTCGGCGGGGCTCGGCGGGGCTCGGCGGGGCTCGGCGGGGCTCGGCGGGGCTCGGCGGGGCTCGGCGGGCGGGCGGGGGGCGGCGGGTCGGGGCCCCGGGTAGGGCGCGGCAGAGGGTCCGCCGGGGCGGCCGCCGCCGTCGGGGCCAGCGTCGGCGGGCGCGGCGATGGGCAGCGTGAGGGGGCCCGGCGGGGCCGCCCTGCGGGCGCTGCTGTCCGTGGCCGCCGGGCTGTTGGCCTGCGGCGGGGCCAGCGAGTACGACTATGTCAGCTACCAGTCCGACCTGGGCCCCTACCCCGGCGGGCGCTTCTACGCCAAGCCCCACCAGTGCGTGGCCATCCCCGCCGACCTGCGGCTCTGCCACAGCGTGGGCTACGACAAGATGGTGCTGCCCAACCTGCTGGACCACGAGACCATGGCCGAGGTGAAGCACCAGGCAAGCAGCTGGGTGCCACTGCTCAACAAGAACTGCCATATGGGTACCCAGGTCTTCCTCTGCTCCCTCTTTGCCCCCGTCTGCCTGGACCGGCCGGTCTACCCCTGCCGCTGGCTCTGCGAGGCCGTCCGTGACTCCTGTGAGCCCGTCATGCAGTTCTTTGGCTTCTTCTGGCCAGAGATGCTCAAGTGTGACCAGTTTCCCCAGGATGACGTCTGCATTGCCATGACAACTCCCAATGCCACCGAGGTCTCCAGGCCCAAAGGTAAGGCATGGCCGGTGCTGCAGCCTTGCTCCTGGCACTGCTGTCTGAGCTGGCAGAGCAGCTGTAAGCCCAGGAGGGGCTGCGTGGGACCGAAGGGGGTCTTGCGGCAAGAGGAGGCTCACCTGAACTCTGCTTCTTGGCAGCAGCCCTCCTCCAGCCTCCGAGCACTCGCGGCACACTCCTGTCCCCAGGAAGGCAGGATGCCCTGCCAGCTGCTCATCCCTATCCCGGAGCCAAGCCTCGGGACGGGCTGTTTGGGGCACGGCGGGGGTGCACTGGGGCTGGGCTGCAGCCCTGGTGGACCAGGGCCCGACCCTCCGTGCTCAGGTGCTGCGTTGCCCTGGCCCGGTTCTGCTCCCCAGCCCAGCTCCTGCAGGGCTGCTCGGGGCAGCAGGAGGGTGTGTGGCCCCTGCGGCATGAGGTGCTGGCTGGCTGCAGTCAACAGTGACTGTAGTTCTGGCGGGATCCCCCGCGTCCCCTGCAGTCCTGGGGCAAGAGACGGGGCAGCCGGTGGCAGTGAGATCCAGCCCTGCCCTCGGGTGGGCTGTGGGCTGGAGCTGGGGCCAGAGACCTGCCAAGAAATGACCAGGGAAAGCGGACGGGGTTCGTGTTTGTTCCCATTGCGTGCGGCACGTTTCTGTGGTGCCAGACTGGCTTGTTTGTTTGAGTTGCAGTGAGTCTGGCTTGTTGCTGGAAACTTTACAATAAATAAATATCCTGATGTCACTTTGGCATTCGCTGTCGGAAACCGGGAGAGGCTGGAAGGAGGGATGTTTGTAGAGGGAGATGGCAGAGGGCTCTAAGAGAGTGCAGTGCTTTTTGGGGAGCAGAGCCTCATTGGAGGGGAGTGGCACTCCCGATTCCACGGGGCATAGTGCTGGTGCTTGGGAGGAGCTGGGGGTCGGGGGTGGGGGGCTGAACTGTTGCCGTGGTTTCTGCACTGTGTCCAAAGCTACTCTGGAGGGGCAGCTGCCCTTTGCAGTTACCTGCACAGACAAAGGCTGTATGTGGTGCTGGGCTGGCAGCTCTCACCCAGCTGGCAGGGACCGTGCAGGGTCATCCTGCCTATCCTGGAGGGACTTACACTTCAGGGAGCCTTTCCAATACGGGGCAGAAAGAGGTGTCCTGCAGCAGAGGGGTCCCTAGGAGCCTTGTGGGGGCACATGGAGGGCTGTGGCTGTGGGCTGGCAGGCACGGGGGACACCCAAGCTTGGCACCCAGAGGAGCTCCGTGTCACATCTCACAGTGGCATCCAGAGCCAGGTGGAGTGTGAAGCCTGTGCCCGTGCCAGGGGCTGAGCTCTGGCTGCTCTCATTCCCAGCCTCTCCTGACACTGACGGCGGTACAGCCACACTGGCTTGCCCTTACTGGTTTGATTGCTGGAGGAAGCTCTTTGTTTTCTAGGAAGGCTCTAAAATAATATGTCCTGTGTGAACCTGGACCCTTGGTCAAGACCGCAGCCGTGTCTTGTGTTGCAGGTACAAAGGTTGCTTTTATTCCCCAGGGACTTGCAGCCAAACATGCTCCTGGGGCAGCTGGGTCTGAGCTGCCCCTTCCAAGGTCCGAAATAGAGTCTGAGCTGTTTGCAAGTCATTCATTTTACAGACAATGAGCCAAGACCTGGGAACAGTCTTCTAGATGAGCAGCATCGGCCAAGTTTTCCCATGTGTGGTTTTAACAACTTTCTGATCACCTTTCAGACCTGTCTTGGCAGCAGCACTGGGGTGGGACACTACTGCTTTCTTTTGGTGCTCCAAAGAGCTCAGAGTGAGCAGAGCAAACTCCAAGTTAACTGCAGCCACTGCTGTGTTTTGAGCCAGCACCTCCGGGTCTCCTGCGCTCTGCAGAGGATCCGCCGGCAGCTCGGTGACAGCAGGGGCCAGACCCGTCACCTTGGCTCTGGCACTGCCACCTCCTGCAGATGCAGAGTCCTCCTGGGTGAACTGCAGCTCAGCCCTTGTCCCTGTGCTGGTTGGGTCCTTCCCTTTGTCTGGGCTCTGCCGTGGGCTCCCTGTTTGTCTATGTTTTCCGCCAGTGCCAGCTCCTGGACCCGCTTTGCTTTTGGGCACTGGGGTGTTTCCTGTTGATTCAAAGAGGGTCAGAACCCAGCAGTGTCCCCCCTTTTCTCTCGGCACTAATAAGAACGAGTCCTTTCAGTATTTTTCCCCATTAACACCTTGAAATTGGAATTTGTTTCTGCCTCTCAAAGAGCTGACCTGTTGAATTCCTTTCTCCTTAAGCACAGGCGGTAAAGCCTGCAGGCCCACGGGATGCATCAGGGGAGTTGCAGATTAATACAGCATTACACATTCCTTCTCCTGCCCCTGGAGTAAGCTGGCTCTACAGCCAGGCATTGGAAAATGGTCAGCAGGGAACAAGCGAGCTGGAAGCAGGCTGAGGTTGTGCTTGGAGTCGAGCCGTCAGCTGCAGGCAGGCCCCAGCTGACCTGCAGTGGGCCAGGAGGGTGGGCTGGAGACCTTGGCCACGGTGCCTCAGGGGGACCGGGAGGGCAGGTGATTTTGAGGTAGCTGTGGCTTTACAGAACAGCAGTTTTCTTGGGGTACAGAGCTGTGCCAGAGCTGGCCAGGCCTCTGTCATTCGTGGTCCTGACTGTGGCGTGATGTGGCGTCCCAGAGCAGAGGACAATTTCCCTCCCTGTCGGCATGGGACAGTGTCCCCTGCACGTCTGTGCTGTGACAGGGCTGCAGGAGGCAGGGCTGGAGGATGGGTCGATGTAGATTGGATAAAAGGAAGTTTTTTTGCAGTGAGGATAGTAGAACGCTGGCACAGGTTACCCAGATATGGCAGGAACCCCCCCTTGTTCCTGAGGGTGGTCCCCAGCACAGTGATGAACTCCTGGCTCTGCAGCAGATGGAGCCCTGGGGCTGTCTCCCTCCTGGGAGCACCCTCTCTCCCTTGTCATGAGCTCATTAAATGTGTGGCCTGGAAGAAAATATTCTGACTGCTGATTTTAAAAATAAAGTGTTGGGGATGTCATCAGTGTCCCCAGAGGTTGGCCTCTGCCTGTGTCACTCTGAGTTAAGATGGTAATGGTGGCAATTGCACGTTAGGGTTTTGGAAGAGGAGGTTACCCAGGTGATGGGCAGATCCCACAGGTACAGAGGTACCAGGAGTGGGACTGTGCAATTGACTGTTGCTGCTGTGAAGGTTGACTTGTGACTTGCACAGAGGGGCGAGCAGAAGGCCAGTTGCTCTGCATGTGTGATTAATAAAGTCGTGGTGCATGTCCTCAGGAATTAGCATTTGGCACAGAACAGATTTAGGGGTGGCGAGAGGGGAAGAACAAGCCACAGAAAACAAATGTCTCGCCTGAACCCCTGTGGGGCTTCTGTGGCTGAGGAGACATGACTCTGTGGTCGTGGCCGTGCCCCTCTCGCCAGCTCTGCCCTCTCTTTCTGGGACACCTCTCTGCTTTTTCAGTGCAGCAATGCTGTGGGTTTGCTGGCCTGGCTGAGGGCTGGGAGGCCGCTGGTCTGCACGCAGGGACCGGCAGATGTTTTGCTGCAGCGTTGTCCCCGAGAGTAACTCCCTTGTGTGGGAAGAGCCCTCCATCCTGCTGGACCGGGAACAAGCAGCATCTCCCGGCTCCATAAATTCATCTGCCAGTAGCGCAAATCTGCGTCTGTGCTGCTGGGTGGTCTCTGCTCTGGCTGCAGGCGGGAACCTGGAAACAGATTCTTATTCTCTGGGTGCAGTGAGCTTTCCTCCCAGGACATGTCCCAGTGAAACCTCCTGGGCTGGTGTTTCCCAAGAGGCAGATGCTGGCCCCTGCCCAGGGCTGGCGAGCAGAGCCAGCTCTGCTCCTCTGCAGCCGGGAGGCTGCGCTGGGCTCAAAACAAAGAAGCAAAGAAGACCCTGCTCTGGGACAGGGTGGGAGAGAGGGCAGTGAGGGGCTAGCCAAGCGCTGCCTGGGCAGCCTGCAGGGTGGTCCCCAGCACCCAGGGGAACACTGTGCTGAACTGGGCTGTCCCAGTCCTGAACTCCCCTGCCTGGCACTGGGGTGGCCTCTTGGTGCATGAGCCATCCCTGGGCACCATCCTCCTGCTGTGCTGGGGTTGGGGCACCGTGTGCTCACCTGGGCATGCCATGGGGAAGGAATGTCAGCAGGCTGTGGGCCAGGCTCCCCTCAGCTGAGTGCCTGGTCCTGAGAACTGTTCTCCCTGCCAGGGCTGTCCTCTTGCTGTTGGCAGCTGCCTGCCCCTGCCCGTGTCTGGCTTTGGGGCCACTGACAGCATTGGAGTGGGGTTGGCAGGAGCTGCCCGTGGCCAGCGCTGCCCTGTGATCTGGTGTAGGGCTCCTGGCCCCAGGCAGGGTGTTGTCCTGCAGAGCTGGGAGCTGGGAACCCGGGCAGGGTGCCTGGGCACGTGCCCCCCTCGAGGGCAGCGGTCTGGCAGCGTGGGCAGCCTGGCTCTGTGGTGCTTCTCGAGCTGGCTTTTCACTGCCTCTCTCTTTGCTTCTCCTCTCCTGCCAGGAACGACTGTGTGTCCCCCTTGTGACAACGAGATGAAGTCAGAGGCCATCGTGGAGCACCTGTGTGCCAGCGAGTTCGGTGAGGAGGAGCGGGGGGGCATGGGGGGGTTCCCAGGTGGGCAAGGCCAGCACGGCTCCTGGATGGGGACCAGCGGGTTCCCCCGCTGCCCTGCCCAGGACGGTGGCGGTGTGGCCCAGTCTGTCCCCGAGGCCAGCAGCCCGTGCCTCTAGATGTCAGTGTGGGTGCATGGAGGAGGGCGCTGCGGCGGGGCTGGGCTGGGCTGGGCTGGGGGTGCGGGATGTGCCCGCTCCCGCAGGACAGGGACAGCGGGTCCGAGGCAGTGCCCGCACACTGCCTGGCTCAGGGGCAGTGCTGGGCATCCCTCCTGCTCGTCCTGGGGAAATGGGGGGCCTGGGGTCACCAGCCAAAGCAGCGGTGCTGCCGCAGGGGTTGGGGCAGAAGTGGCAGTGCCGGTTCTTTGGGGAACTCAGGGGGGTTTGTAACTTAACCCCGGTGTTCCCAAGCTTCTGTGTGCTTGCAGGAATAATGCATGGACCCTTATTCTGCCTGCAAGCACGAAGGAGGAAACCAGCCTCCTTTTCCCCAGATTGCTTGTGCTGCTGTTATTTCTTTATGGCAAAGTTATGCTGCTCTTGTCGAATCTAGGCATAAAACCCCAAAGCCAATCCTTGTCTAGCTAGGGCCAAGATGTGAGCTTAAAAATGCAGAGCTACTTGAAAGCTGTGTCCTAAATATATTATGAGTGAGTGAGTGAGTCAGACAATCGGAGGTAAACTGAACTTCATTTAAAAAAAAAGATTATCACAGGGAAAAATATTAGCTTTCTCGGATCAAACCCAGAATTAACTGGTTGTGACATCCTTGCTGGTGTATGTAACTTTCCCAGAAGGTTATTAAAGGCATATTGAACAAGGTGTGCATTCCTGGGGGATTAACACTCGAATGTGCCCTGTGCCAGAGTGTGCTGTGCAAACCCAAACCTGCTCTGCATGCTGGCGTGTTACCCTTTCTGCTGGAAATGAATTCTCGACTCTCCTGCAGATTTGGTATGCCAGAAGTCCTAAGTTCAGCTCAGGCTTTTTCTAAGAGAGAAAAGCATCAACAGGAACACCCATGTAATAGTTTCCCAGGAATGTGCATACTTCTGGTTGGTGGGGGAATGGAGCAGGCACTCAGTGCACAGCCTGGCTGAGCAGCAGGAGATGCTGGGCACTCAGAGCGGGGTGAGCTGGGGTGCTCAGAGCTCTGCCCCGGGCAGGCACAGGGTGGGAGCTGAACCACAGCTCCCCACTAATGGCATGGGGAGAGCCTGGGGGGAGCTTCCCAGGTGGTGGTGGGAGAGGGAGCAAGTGGCCTCTGGGACCAGCCCAGCTGGTTGGGGCAGGGGCTGCTTGCCTGGGCTTGCAGAGGCTCTGGCTTGGGGACCTGCATCCCAGAGGAGGAGCCAGGGGCACTGGCCAGTGGCTCCGTTGCTGGTGGGTCACTGCAATCCCCATCACCTTGCCAGAGGTGTGTGAAGAGTGAGCTGAGGTGGCATCCTGCTGGTGGGCAAGTGCCAGGAAGGCAAATAACAAGTTTAACCACATGCTTGTTGTCAGCTTCTGCCACTAAATATCCTCCCGTGGTCTGGGACAGTTACACAACGGGGAGCAGAGGCCAAACCAGAGGAATTCGTGGCCTCGGCAGAGCGCCTTGGGACAGTGACTTGCCCACAGTGTAAGTTGTTATTGGGAAATACTGTGGTGACAGTGTCCAGAGGGTGGAAATATTTCTTGGCAGATGTGGCCAGTCTGTAGCCAGCTGGGAGCAGGAGCAAGGGCTGGGATGCAATGCAGGTCCTACCTGTGCCCTCTGAGGGAAGGCAGCACGAGGGCTCTGGGGGATGTCTCAGCTGGGGTGAGCAGAGGAGACGTGGGCTTTAGGAAGTTTTCCCAAAGCACAGTGCGTGGCCCTTGGATCTTTGTTTAGTCTTGGGGCTTTACTGTCGTGGGGTGATTTCTCAAGAGAGCTGTTTATCTGGCTCTAAAATAAACTCCTGACCCTTCAGACTGAGGTTCCTCATGCACATCCACCAAGGTAAACACTGGCAGCTGACAGGTTACAGATCCTCATCAAAGCCAGACATGTACAATAAATGTTTAAACTAACATGTGCTGCACGGGGCAGCTGTTGGTGGGTTCTGCACCGATTCCCACTGTAATTGTTACTGTAGTTTTCTCTTACGTCCCACGAGCTCCTTACAGACAAGAGGTGAGGAGCACTTTGCCCACCACAGATATGTGGCTGTGCCAGGGTAGGAGGTGGCTGTGTGGCAGCCCTGGAAGTGATCTTGAGGACAGTGCAGGAAGAGGGCTGCAGCCGGCTGTGAACACAGGGAGACTGTAAAGAAAAGGCAGAAGAGGGTGCTGGGGCTCAGAGGGGTGCCAGGGGACTGCCAGCCTCATGGTCCAGCAGAACTCTGGGTTTGCCTTCGTTTGAGCAGTGGTGACCGTGGGCTCTGGGTGCTGGTTTGAGGTGGCTCGGCAGCTCCTCCAAGAGCAGGACAGGTCCCGGTGGGGTGTCAGCGAGGGGTGCCAGGCCTCTGGCCTGGGCACAGAGCCGTGCAGGGGGCTGGGGCAGGTCCATGGGTGTCACTGCAGTGTAGGTTTTGGTGCAGTGCTGGTGTGCTGGGGCAGGAGGGATGCGAGAGGAAGTGTGAGATTGGCCTCCCGTGCCCCCACTGCCGCCTCCCCCGGCTGCCCTGGGCTGCAGCCAGCGCTTGTTTCTTACTCCCGGAGTTCATTCCATGCTCTGTTTCTCTTAGTGATTTTATTTATTGTTTCTGCCCTTTCTCTGGGGTCTGAGGGGATCCTGCTGAACGGGCTCTGTGGCACTGGGGACTGCAGAACAATCAATACATGCTGTTTATTTTCTCCCGGTGACTGACAGCTCCTTGCCTGCAGTCTTCTCCTGTTACAGCCCTAATGTGTCTTCTGGCAGGTTTCCTCCTTCTCAGTGATTTCTAAAGGAAGGAGAAATGAGGCTGAAGGAACAGCGGAGCTTTCCCTTCTCTCACATTTCCTTTCCTGCCCATGAGGTGCTGGAGTGGGGCCCGTGCAGGCAGGAGAACACCAGAGGCAGGCTCCTGGTGACAGGCTCCTGTGCCATGTGGGGCAGTGGGTGCCGGTGCTGCAGCCGATGCCAAGGCAGCCTGTGCAGCTGCTGGACTGGAAAGGTGGCACGTGCTTGTGGCGTGGGCAGCCCTCTGGGTCCCTTCCTGGGGCCAGCTCCTGCCTGGCAGCCACGGCTGAAGATTTAGTGTGTCCAAGCAAACACATCCCGGGGTCTCAGGCGATTCTGGCCCTTCTCCTGCTCGGCGCTGAGGCGGATTTGGTGCAGCACGGGGGGAGCAGAAAGGCCAAGGCTCCCAGTGAGGAGCTGTTTGCTTTGGCAGCTCAGCTGGGGCCCGGAGCCAAGGCTCCATCCGTCCTGCTCGAGCCTCTCGCCCGCCGCAGGGGCGTTCCCAGGGCTGGGGAGGTGCCAGACGAGCTGCCCCAGCAGCGACTGCACCGGGGTCCCCCCTGCCAAACCCTGGCTTTTAGGAAAGCCACGAGCCAGGGGCCACCTCCCTCTGTGGGGTGGGGAGCTCTGGGAGTGGGATGTGCACTGGGAACAAATGTGCCCTCGGGTGCTGCTGGTCTGGTGTGTGTGGGAACACGGCTTTGATACCCAGGGGCCTCACCTGGAACATGGGTTGGAGCTGTGGGAATGTGGCCCAATCTGGGGAGCAGTGGGGGCCAGGGGGGCCAGGTCACTGAAGGGGGGTGAGGGCTGAGCAGAGATCGTCGTGCTCTGTGATTGCTCAGCCTGCAGCAGTGCAGGCAGCTGGAGCCTGGTGCTCCCTGAGCTGGGCTGTGTTCACCTGGGCAGCACTGCAGGCTGTTGCTGGTGACAAGGACATCACTGCTGGGAAGAGTGGAGTCCGACACAAACTATTTGCACCCCTGATCTGCCTCCTCCTTCACCCCCCCTTGGCATTCTCCCATCTTGGCTCCGTGTGCTGCTCTGCACGAGCAAGGTTTGGATGAGGTTTTGGTTCACATCTGGATTTGTGGTTCCCCTGGGCAGCTCCCATGAACCTGCATGGCTGGCTCACGAGCTGCAGTGTGCAGGGAAGGGAGCAGCTGTGAGCTCCCACGGCACAGGATTACCAGGCCTCCTTTGTCTTCCATGCTTGGAGCAGGACAGCTCCTGTACCAGCTGCCAGGTCCTTTTCCTCCTCTAGCAACAAGGATTGAACCTTGCAGTGATCCCAGCAGAGCAATCTGCAAACAAGCCATTTCACAAAAGTCTCTTATTGTGCCACTGTAATGGTGTTTTACATCCCTCCTGCACTGGCCACTCCTGTGCTTAGTGCAAGGGCTCCAGGTCAGCACAGATAAAGAAACTGAGGCTCGCACTGAGGGTGTTGCTGCTGCTGCCCAGTTATGTCACGGAGTTTAGAGCTGCCCAAAAACTACCCGCTTCATTTTCCAGATTTGTTGCAAACTGATCTGGTTCAGCATCTCCAACTCCTTAAAGCTGGAACCTCTTTAGCTCCTTAAGCATCCTGAATTTGGAAAACGGATGGAATGAAAATTTCGCTTGGGTTTCCAGTCCTGGATGACTTTCCTGTACAGTCACGGTGTAACACGACAGGGCTCTTGGCAAACCCAGCGGGTGTTTTTGGCACAGGGGCAGGCAAACACCACTGCCCCTGTTGCCAGGGCAGTGGATGGGAGCAGAGGGTGATGTCTGTGCTGCCTGCTCGGGGTTGTCAGCGCTGTCCTGCTGCCATCCCTTGCTGGAGGGCGGAGCAGCGCTGCCTTCCAGGAAGCAACACGTGTTTGCTGCTGCACGTTCCAGCAGAGCAGGACTTCAAGGAAGGATGCTGCGGAGCCAGAGGCTCCTGTGGGCTGCCTGCACCCGCCCTCGGACTCAAATGAGAAGGGACAGCAGCCAATTAATCACCTCTCTGAGCACTAGTTATCTGCAGCTCTGAAGTAAACTCCCAAACCTTGGAAATGTGTTAGTAATTTTTGGCCATATGTGCTTTTCCCCAAAAAGGAGGCAAAGCCAAATGGCTCAGACGTGATACTTTAATGTACAACACATTTTCATCATTTTTACCATGTATGCAAAATTCTTCTTCATGGTCAGGCAAAAGAACATTAATTTTATTTTTTTTTTTTTGGGGTTTGGGATTAACTCGGGAAAATGTTGAACCCAGAGAGGAGAGCATTTTCCATGGAAGTTGTATCAGACCAACTCCCCTTCTCCTGGGGAGGGTGCAGGCACATGTCTGTTCTGGGCCCTTAAGGCTGTGTGACTGGGTCTCCTCAGCTCCATGCAGAGACTCCCAGTGCTTGGAAACTTGTTTCACAGGCACCTGAAGGCCGGTGTGACTGCAAACAAATGCTTGAGAAGCCAAATTGACCTTTTAAATGATCCTTTCAAGAATCTCTCCATGCCTCCAGAGCAGGGAAATCACCCTGTTTACTTAGCTAACGTTTTTCTTTCAAAGAGCTCCCCGGCAGCTGAACAAGTCCCCTCTCAAGCTTTGCTGGGGGAAGGGGAACAGACAGGTCAGTGTTTGACCTTGATGCTCTCCTGGGTGTGGGGGCGGCTCCATCTCAGGCACAGGGGTGTGTGTGACACCACGGGCCACGTCACTGAGCAGGGGGACACGGAGCTGAGTGGGGACAAGGGGGGGCAGGAATGGGGCACTGGATGTCTGCAGTGGGGCAGGGCACTGCTGCTGTCCTGGGGTCACGGTGCCAGTGCCCCCTCACCCCCAGCCTCACTTAGCAAAGGCTTTGTGCCGTGAAGGCTGCTCAGGAGTTGTGTTGGTTTTCCCCTCTCTCTGGCTTGTTTTGCAGCTCTTAAGATGACCATAAAGGAAGTGAAGAAGGAGAACGGGGACAAGATGATCATCCCACGGAAGAGGAAGGCACTGAAGCTGGGGCCCATCCGGAAGAAGAACCTGAAGAAGCTGGTGCTGTTCCTGAAAAATGGGGCAGACTGTCCCTGCCATCAGCTGGACAACCTCGGCCACTACTTCCTCATCATGGGCCGTCAGGTGAAGACCCAGTACCTGTTGACAGCCATCTACAAGTGGGACAAGAAGAACAAGGAGTTCAAGAAGTTCATGAAGAAGATGAAGTCTCCCGACTGCCCGACGTTTCCGTCCGTGTTCAAGTGATGCGGGAGAGCCGCTGCCCGGGCTGGGCTCGCCCCTCTGCAGCAGGGGTGCTGGAGCCAAGCCCTCCTGCTGCTCCACCCTGCTCCTCAGAGCTCCCTCAGTGACCTCAGCCCTCCCACATCCCGCTGGCCTGGGCGTGCCACGTGTGTGCCCCGAACAGTCGCTGGGGTCACACACGGTGTCTGTCCACGGCACCTAAAGACCTGTCACTCCACAGACATGTACAGCCATTCCAATAGCAGCTGTCAGGTAAAGAGGGCAAGCAGAGGGGTGTGAGGTGATGTCCAGAGGTTACACACCTGCAGAAAGGACCCTTGTGACCATGTCACTCCTGTCTTCATGGCTGCAGGATCGCCCTGAATTCCTGTACGAACCAGAGCCAGCTGATCAGACAGACATCCCATCCTCACAGTCCCCTTACAGCCTCTGAGAAAAACTCCTAATTGCCCTCACTGCAAAAAAATCCCGTTGTAGTCTAAATGTGCTTTGTCTAAGCTTTAACCCCAGGTCCTTGTGGTGCCTTGCTGGGCTGGAGCCCTCCCTCACCAGCATCTCTCCAGTGTCTCACCAGGTGCCTGCCCTGGCCTCTGCCACACTGTGAGCCCCTCGTGCCCAGGGCTGTGCTGCTCCCTGGCAGCCCTGGAGCCCCCAGGCCATGCCCTGCAGTTGTGCACTGGCCATGGGGGCAGAGGGGGCTCTGTGCCCCACCCGTGCCTTCAGCCTCACGTGGGCCCGTGGCACAGCAGGTCCCGCTGAGCTGCCCTGCCCTCGGCCTGGGGGGCACTGCCCTGCAGGGGTGCCCAGAGCTGCTGGTGCCCAGAGCTGCCACTCCATCTGAGCCCCCTCAAGGGTTGGCCTGCCCGGGGCTCTGGCTGGGGGGAGCTCAGGGCCAGCTCCTGCAGCCCCCTCACTTCCCCAGTGATGTCCTGATGGTCCCTCAGGCTGCTGGCTCAGTCCCAGAGTGCAGCAGGCTGAGGACTCGTCCCCAGGAGCTGCAGGGAACGCGTCGGCTCCGCCTTTCCCTCCTTGCTGTCCCTGTGGGACCCATCAGTCTGGGCTTTGTCTGTTTGATCTGTGACAACTTGGCTTTGTATCATTCTACATTTTTTTTCCCCTAATCAAAATGTTGTGTTTGTATGATTTCAAATAGCTTATGAAAGACAAAGAGTATCTCATCCGAATGATTGCATTTATTGACCAAACTGAAATGCATTATTCTGTTAATTGGACAAGTTCTCTTTCCCATGGACCCATATCATTCCACATTCATTGTCCTTCCTGCTTCCATTCAGTATTCTCATCCATCAGCAATACTCTAGGAGAATGAATATCTGAGAGCTGAGATAATCCTGCTGTATCATGGTTAAATGAAATAACAAATCCTCATTTTTGAGGTTTGAACCAAGCCCACTCAAAGCTGGTAGATTAATTATTCCTTAGCTCAGGAGTGCTGTTTATTCCCCATGTGGGAACAGAGCTGTGGACTTGGTTGTAGAAGAATTCCACGAAGAAGCCAAGCACTCTGAGGAATGATGTTTCACAGCTAACAGAGAGATGGATTTAGGACATGAACTTTGTAGAGAGTCTCACTAGGTTGTCTTAGACCACCATTTGTAGTAGTGTTGTTTCTTTATTGCAAAATTAATCATTGTAGATAATGTGCTTTTATCAGTGAAGAAATAAATAAACAAACCACAGGCTTTAACATCACAGAGTGATGAGGTGAGTGATGGAGAGGGCTGGCAAACCCAGCTGGGTGGGAAATGGAGTGAAAGGCTGGTTGTCTGGGAGTGCCCACAGTGGCAGCACCACAAAAGCCTCGCAGGGACCGGGGCAGGGACCTTCCATCTCCCCTGGCTCCCCTTCCTGAGCACACAGGGCAGCAGAGGAGCTGGCCTGGGGGCTGTCAGCAGTCCCAGGGGGTTGGACTGGGCTGCCCAGAGCAGTGGTGGAGTCACCATCCCTGGAGGTGTTCAGGAAATGACTGGATGTGGCACCAAGTGCCACTTTGGTTGATTGGTGGAGTTGAGTCCAAGGTTGGGCTCAATGACCTTGGAGGTCCTTTCTGCCCCAGTGATGCCATGATTCCTTGCTGCCTGCCTGCAGCAGCTGTAGCTCGTTGCAGGGAGAGCAGGGCCCTTCCTGGGAACGTCCTGCTGCTTTGGCCAGTCCTGGCTGCAGCTCACAGGTTGTTTGCATTAAGGTGATTTTTTACCCACCTGAGGGTGAATGTGCTGCAGTCCCAGTTGAATCTCTGGTGCTGGGGGAGGTTTGAGAGCTCGGAGGAAGCAACAAGTTCTTTCTGCAGCACATTTGGCCGGAGACATCAGCAATGCTGACACCACGAGAGAGGTAAGGCCAGTGCTGTGGGGCTGCTGCCTGGGGTCTCCTTTTCCCAGCTCAGAGCTGGTGCCTGGGGTGGTTTGGGCTCTGCTTTGTGCATTTCACTGCTGGGTGGTCTGTGATTGCTCGACAAAGCGTGAGCACCAGATAGAGTGAAGAGGTGCAGGAAGCCGGGCAGTGTGTTTGCTGAATGTTTACCAACTCAGTTCCTTCACTGACTTCTTGTAACTGACAACTCTGAAGTATCTTTATGTCATGTAAAAAGTGAGACTCACAGTCAAGTGCTGCATGTGGGGGCATTTGCTGTCTTTAGGTTTCCTGTGTTGCTCTCTGATAAGAAAAGTCTACTGAAACCTGAAATGGTCTAAGTGTAGACTAAGGAGAAAGCACCCGAGGTCCTGGAGTCGTGCTCGTGCTGGATCATATGGAGCAAACAGACTTTGGCTGAAATGAGAAAGCATGAGAGGCTCCTTAGATCAGACACTGCCTGTCTGCTGGTGTAGCATTCCCTGGAGCAGAGAGATGTGTGTGCAGTTTATGGGTACATTTTACATTTTAAAATGTCAGATGCTGGTTGTTATAATGAGTTCCAGTTTAAGTTACAAGCATTTGTGTAAATGCTCAGTTTAAGACGTGTCATGCTGGGAGACAACTTCAGTTCTGCCCTGCTGAGGGCTGTGGGGTGTCCAAGGGACAGGGACGTGCCACCTCTGGGCTGCTCAGGCTTGCTGTCTGCCTGGGCTTATCTGAAGTAAGAATCTTAAATCCTAAAATAAAATATCATCCTTTTGTGACTCAGTTTATCCTCCCAATAATGTTTATCTTCTTTGCTCCAGCATTCCTTCTGTCGAGTACCGCCCGTTAATTGAGTTTCTGGCCTCCAGTTGTAGTTCAGTTATAAACAAATACAGTTTTCTTTCATGCTATACAAAAAGTCATCTTCCATCCCTCAATTAATTTTTCCCATTACTGGCAGTCTGTGTTCTGCTTTGACCTCTGCTGGGGGAGAACTGTCGAGCAATTGGGGAGGACTGGTTCTCCTGGGGCAGGCAGGGTGTCAGCCTGGTGTCCTGCTCTGTGCATGCTGTACATGACCAGGGGGTGACACACCCCGGCTGTGCCAGCCTGGAACCGGCTTGTCAGGGGCTCACAGGCAGCAGCTGCTCTGGGCTCATCAGCCAAACAGGCAGGGTCCTGCTTTCATCAGCTGTTCCACAAACAGGTAACCCAGGGCTGCAGTGACTGCAGCACAAGTGACTGAGAAATAACAGAAATGACAAACTGCTTCCCTTGGCAGGCAGATGGAGCTGCTCTGACACAATCACTGCTCTGGGCAGTGCCAGGGGGAGGGGGGGCAGATGAGCCCCCCATGGCTAGAGATGGGCCCCCAGTGAGGGGCTGCTCAGTGAACACCCAAGGTCTCAGCTGGAATGTTCTGCAGAGCCACAGCGAGACCCTCCTTCCACCCACCCCAGCACCAGTAGCAGTGCAGAGAAAATGCTCCACCATGTTCCAGGGGCTGCTCCTGCTTTCTCACTGCATTGTGCTGGATGACCCTTAAAAAGGACACACACACACACACACACACGTAATTAAAGCCACCCTCCACCCCAAGGCCAGAGCTGTGTCTGGAAACCGCCGTTCCCTGGCGCGGAGGCTCCTTTTCCATCCCAGCCCAGCTCCACGCGCCGCGGCGGCACCGCCATGAGGAACGGGCTCCTGAGAGCCAGGAGGGAGAAACGTCTTCCAGTGTCTTCAGCAAGTGCTTTTGAAATCCCTGTTTTGCAGAGGAACAGACTTTTTTTGTTACTATTTCTTCCCCTGTAATCCCCCCCGAGCCCCTGAGCGTGCTGCCTTGTCGGATGAGTTGCTCCCTCTGGGCGCTCTGTAGGTGTCTGAGCCACGCTCGAATGTCCTCCTTGGAAGGGGAGTGGGGCAAGCTGGCGGCTCCTCTGCTCTTGGGAGCTTCTCGTTGCAGACAGGCCCAGTTGCGGGGTCCAGGAGCTCTGCAGCACGTGGCTGCCCGAGGCAGAGCCCCGTCCCGGAGAGCCCTGCGGGAGGAAGCGCAGATCAACCTGTCAGGGTGGCCCCGTCTGCGCCACGGTGGCCTCGCAACCTTTGGAAAATGAGGGCTTTGTTTCAAGGACTTCCCATCAGAGGCTGGAATCTCCTGTGGGGCGGCAGCCTGCCACAAGAATGCTGCCTGTGTGGCGGGAGCGGGGTCCGCCGTGCCCCTGCCCTCGGCGCGGGCTCTGCCCTGGCCCCGTCCCCTCCTGGCAGCAGAGTGATGGATCTGTCTCCACTCGCAGGGCGAGGGCACGGGCACGCTGCGGCACAGCGGGCTCCTCTCACAGCCTGCCAAGATCCGAGAGCCACGAGCAGCCAGCAAACAGTCCCTCTTTTCTGCGGGAGTGTGCTCGGGTGGGGAGTTCACTGCTGTCTGAAAAGTTTTTCCTTTAGAGGCAACCAGGAGATGTTTGCCAAGCCATCGCTGTGGAGAGTGAGAAGAGGGAAGCCAGGACAGGGCTGGCAGGAGCCGTACCTGGTACAGTCAGCACTGCAGGGTTTGGGGTCCAGCTCTCTGCTCCCACTGCTGAGGTGTGGGAAGAACAGCTCTCTCTGAGACTCCGTGGGGCTGTTCTGCTTTTTCTTTAGCTTAGGTTGGGGCAGGTTGGGCTGTTGGCAACCTCTGCTTCAGCACTTCGCTGCCTCTATCTTTCTTCAAACTCTTGAGTTATTAATGTGGCTGAGAGGTTAATTTACTGGGAGGTGTAATGTTGTATATGAATAAATTATGGCCCCAGAAGGATGGTGGAGAGGGAGTATCTCTGCTGTTACTTGGAAAGAAATGAGGAGATCAGGGCATTTGCCTTGGGCAGCCTCTCGTGTGTTCAGAACCACATTAAACCCCCCAAATAACAAACTGCAGCCCCTTGAGGCAAATGTGACACCTTTAAATGGGTCATCCTCACGTGGGGGTGATCACACCCAGCCCAGTCTGCTCAGCTCCTGCACAGCAAGGGCAGATACAGCTCTGGAGAGGGTTGAGCTGCGTGTGGGAGCTCCGAGGTGGTTCCACGGGTGGCTGTGTGAGGCCACCTGCCTTCTCCCGGGGCTCGTGTGACAGTGGTGGCCGTGTTGGCCTGGCCAAGCCCATGGTGCTGGCTGGCATGTTCAAGTTTGTGTGTCAAATGGTCTTTGACAAACATTTAGCCTGATATTAAGATTTTATTAAAGTCCCCCTCCTGGATTAGGTCCTGCTGAGACTTGAGGCATCACTGTGGGTGATGATTAAACACTGTCCTGCACAGCTGAATCTTTGCAGCCCTGCCTGCCTGCTCCGGAGTGTTTGCAATTTCTTCACCACTTCATGATCTTTCCTCTCACTCACCCTGAATGTTTATTTAATAATCCTTGAAGACCTTTTAAGCTTCCTGGGTTTAATGTTTGCTAAACACCCTGTCACTTCCACTTGTATTGATAATTCCCGGCCCTGTGCTTTGCCCTGCAGCCACGCCAGGGGACGGGACAGCCCCACACCAACACAGACCCCAAAAGCTGGTGCTGCCCCGGGGGGGTCCGTGGGAGCTGCAGGGGGGGCTCCTCAGCTGGATCATCTCCCCTTGCATTACCTCAGCCCCCGCTCTCCCCGGGCCCTGGCAGTATTAGTTTCACAAATTCATTTTCCTTCACAAAAGCTTTTGGTTACTTTGGGATTAGGGACTGTTTAGAGTTCATTGTTTTCCCCGAGCTGCCTTGTTTTGCTGTAACGCTGAGACGCCTGGGCTGCAGGAACCTAATCCCCCTCCTCCTCCAGCAGCCCAGCTCTGTGAAAATCCGTTCTCTGCTTTAGTGCAAATTGTTGATGGGAGATAGCAGCGGGTCTTTCTGCTTCCATTTAACGTGTCAGCGGGGAAAGACATCTGCTTGCAATTATGGGCATGGCCTCGCTGAAGGATTGGCCTGGTAGATTTTTATAAGATAATAGGAAATCTTTATCAATTCATAATTCCTGGTGTCAAAGAGAGGAATATGTTTCATTTAAAATGTTCACCTTCTATTTTACAAAGTTGTGGGATAAACCATGAGATTGATATCAAGGGAAGAGGCTTGGAGTGTGCTCTGTGCTCGCTGTGAAGGGCCAGTCCCACCTTTCCCACGTGAAAACCTCTGAGCAGGGGAGGGCCAGTCTGGGGAGCTCTGCCACGTGCCCAGAGAGGCAAATCCTTTTGGAAATGATGTGCTGCTGACTTTGCAGCGTGCTCTGGAACAGCAGAACTGTCCCCAGCACAGCGCCCAAGGCATTGGAATCTCTTGGATGGGGCGAGTGGCTGCAGAGGAGCTGCTGTGCACTAGCACCTCCTGAG